TGAGACAGAGGAATGATCGTGAGCAGCTGCTCCTGGTGACTAGCCAGCTGCTGCCGCACCTGCATTTTGGCATCCTGCCTCTCCATGTGTTTTCAGTCCCATGGAGATGGTGTATCCTTGATTCCTACATTGGCCCACATCGGGGAACGCTAGTCTTTAAGTTACGCTTTTCAGAATCTGTTCCTTGTGTACTAACTCACCCTCATCCTCTACCGTCTTCACCGCCTGCTGCTGCCATCATAAGCTCTGTCCTTTACACCACTATTTGGGGGCTGCTTCCCCTTCTCTTTATGATAATATTCCTTCCATTGCTCCCATCATAGTGAACATTCCATTCTCATCACCACGTTAAACGTGGAAGTTATAGGCTACTGCCTGCTATAGCTGCCTTCTCACAATCACTGTTGGAGCACTCCTGTCAGTTCATGGGAATCTAAAGTCTAGGGAATCTTGTACTGTGAACTAAAGAGAAGGCAGCAATATTGCCTAATAGAATGCAAGCTCCTTGAGGACACGAATAGTTTCATTTTTGTCCTTGTATCCTTAGTACCCAGTGCAATGCCTGGTACCTGCACTAGAAAGGATATGACCTTGTGTAGTGTTCTCCAAACTTTTTTGGTCACAAACCTCTATCGATAAGGAGTTCTTGAACACACATTCTCAATACCTATCTACTTATTTACAAATTATATATATATATATATATATATATATATATATATACGTATATAAATACATATGTATAATATGCTACTTTACTAATAATTATGTTACTATTAATCATGCATTGGGCCGGCTAGGTGGCACCAAAGTGCATAGAGCGCTGGGCCTAGAGTTAGGAAGACTCGTCTTCCTGAGTTCAGTTTGGCCTCAGACACTTGCTAGCTGTGTGACCCTGAGAAAGACACTTAACCCTATTTACCTCAGTTTCCTCATCTGGAAAATGTGCAGGAGAAGGAAATGGCAAATCATTTCAGTATCTTTTCCAAGAAAACCCCAATGGGGTCAGGATTGAAATGACCGAACAGTAACAAAACAAGTAATTATGCGTTATAAAACTTAGACAACAATAGAAATTTTAAAAGGGTAAGATAAGATGAAATAATGTTTAATCCTAAAGTAAATAGGGAGTTTGATTAATTAGAGGAGTGACAAGGTCAGACCTGCATACAAATCACTTTGCAATGATGAAAGATTTGAATCAGGGGCCCAAGTAGCAGGCTATTACAATAGTGCAGGTGACAGGTAGTGAGGACCAGAAGTAAAGTAGTAGCTATGAGAACAGAAAGAACAGGATGGTATGGGAAATGTTAGAGGCAGCAAAAGAGACAGAGCCCAGAACCTGGAGTCAGAAGAACCTTAGTGTACATATCCTACCTTAGACACATACTAGCTGTATGGCCCTGGGTAAGTCATTTAAATCATCAGCCTCAGTTTCCTTATCTGAAAAAAAAAAAAGGATAATCTTATAACTTTTCTCCAAGGGTTGTTGTAAGGGTAAAATGAAATGAAATTTGAAAAATGTTTCACAAACCTTAAAGTACTATATGAATGTAGTTTTTCATACTGATGATATTTGGCAATAAATCCTACATGTAGGGTGAGTGAGAGTGAGGAAGCGAGATTGGGAAGCTGGGTGATTGAAAAGATAGCCATGCCTTTGATGGGGCAGGGAAGTTTTGGGGGAGGGTTTGAGGTGAAAGATAATATAATGAGATCTGCTGGACAGCTGTCAATCCATCCATGCCAGTCATCCTGGGCAATTCCTTGCCCACCAAAAATGCAAAAAGGTGAAGAAGGCCCTTTAGGCTTCTTGCCCTGGAGCACAGAGCCTACAAAGAGGTGTAGAGTTATCAACAGGGCCCCAATCTAAAGCCATGAAGTGATCTGGGGAGCAGGATGGATGTATTCTGGAGGCTAGAGGGGGTTTCCTGAATGGCGCCTGCATGATGGGTGCCCTGGTAGAGATCTGATTCTCATCACCCTAAGGGGCCCTTGTCTGGGCAGAAAGGGAGAGGTGGAGAGTTAGCATAAATAAAGGAGGAAGAGTGAGGATTGTTTTGGAACACAAGCTCTGGGAGGGTGGGATACACCCTTCCCCACCCTTTGATCAATTAATCATTAAACCGTTAAGATTATGCCAAAGCCCTTGGAGATCACTGGCCTAGAGGACCCGTCATGCCAATGCTAATTCTATCTTAGCCCTAGTGCTGATAGACCCTTTTATCAAAAGCACTCAGAGAGACCCTATCAGCCCTCGAACCCATCCAGAGAATGAAAAGAAGAGCCCTAAGGAACAGGAAGGATATTGTCATCCAATGGGGAGAGAAGAGATGAACTCATGAGCATGGAGGAATGAGCAGATACAAGCACCAGCAGCTGCTTCAGAAAGTGCACCTGCCTTTCTGTGCTTGTGGAAGATGGTAGAGGGAGAAGGGAAAAGCATGATTAACTGGGCTGTTGAAGGTGGAAAGGAGTACAGAGTAGTCTCGTCCTACCTTTCCAGAAATGCAGATCAGATGACTAAGAGAAGGAGTAGTAATGATCTGATACCCAGGGTCCTAGATCCAGGGTTGAGAGCAATCTGAGGCCATCACATCCAACCACCTCCTTTTACACTTGAAGATCCTAAGGCCTGGGGAAGTGAAGCAGCTTTCCCAAGGTCACATAGTTCTTAAGTGTGAGAGGGAGGATTTGAACTCAAGTCCTCTGACTCAGAGCCAGGGATCAAAAGTGTACCGTGATGTCTCTGTCCTGGGGCCAGAATGATCCCAATGGTTCAGGACACCATGCCTGCTTTTATTTGCATCTCTGTCTTCATGTCCTGCTATGCCATCTCTCCTTGGAAAAGGAGTTTGGAAGGTGGCTTCATGTGTGTGTCCTCATTCAAATCTTATGTCTCTGTGCCCAAGTTTGGTGAGCAGCTCAGGGCTTTGGGAAGGCATATCATCAAGGCAGAAGGAAAATGATGAGCTCAGTGCCCATGTGCACAGCTACCCGGTACTACACTGCCCCTCAAAGTAAATGTTTTTCCTTGTGCGCCAGTAGTAGGGGCCAGAGCCTCAGACACTACTACCAGAGAAACCATTGCCCCACCTTGCCCCACTACCAGTGTTGTAGACAGCTTTGATGGCTCTCCTTTTTCTATTCTTGTACATCACTTCCCTCCAGACTCTCAGCCCTCTTCTTATTCTATAACATTTATTCTTTTTCCTTACCTATTCAACATTCCTCTCAGTTCCTTACCATGCTCACCCACCCCAACCCATTTGAGACACTCTCAGACCTTGTCCCAGGACTCAAGAGATGTCCAAAGGGAGTCTCCAATGCCATCAGCAATAGAGGAGAAGCAGGCCCTAGGGCTGCAACGAGGAGACCAGGAATCCTTGGCATTCCAAGTTGGAATTTTAAACACATTTTCTCACCCAAAATACTCCTGTCATGAAACCCATAGAAACACACAACCAATTTGTATGTTAGAGGCTGTGTCTACCTATCTATAAATTGAGTGGAATTTGGAGTCCCTGTTTCTGAATTTAGCTACAAATGTATTAACAGAGATTTTGTCATATTGAGAGCACTTAGGGTTGATTTCTTCTTAGTTGCTTCATGGAAATCAGTGCACGCTATCTTGCTCCAGACTTCCTGATTTGCTGTCAATCTCTATGTAAACTAAGGTGCATTTTAATATCAAGGAAGCATTAATATGCTTCTGGGGCTTGACAGAAGGGATAAGCTAGTTAACCGGCTTAGATCTTTCATGTTTCCTATTCTACCAAACACACTCAGAATGTGACTTAGGAGAAGATTCTTCCTCATTCTTTCTACAATTCCCCCTAACCTGCACTGAAGGAATATCCTGAGCCCTACAGCATGACACGGCTCTCTCCTAACTCATATCATTCATTACAGTAGCTCTCTTAGCTATTTTTACCAAAACAAAAAGGGTTTTGCCTCATTTCTGTGGTGAGAAGGCAGGTTAACCCACTTAGGTTCTGTTTATGGGGCTGTGGGACAGACTGCACAACAGAAAGAGTGCTGAATTTGGAGTAGGTGCCTGAATTTAGATCCCAAGTCTGTCACAGTAGGAAATTTGCTTAACCTTTCAGGACCTCAATTTCCTCATTTATAGAATGAGAGGGTCAAAATAATAATAATGTAATAATAATAATGATAGCATTCATATAGCACTTTAAGGTTTGCAGAGCTTTTCTCATTTTATCTTTATGACAACCCTGGGAGTTATCTACTGTTTTTATTATTATCCCATTTTACAATTGAGGAAGCTGAGATAAAGATTAAAGTGACTTGTCCAGGGTCACAAAGCTGTAAGTAACTGAACCTAGGTTTGAGCTGGGGTCTTTCTGATAGCTGGCCCAATGCTCCAGCCACAGTATCACCTAGTTCCAAAGTCCCTTTTTCCTAAGTCTATGACCTTAATAAACTTTTATAGGCAAAGAAATAACATTCAGTGGGAAAGGAAGGGGAGAAGGGAAAGAGAAAAGGGAAAAAAAAGCCAGGTGCCGTTCACTGAATCCTCACAACAACCCTAGGAAGTAGGAAGTGGATAGAGGTTAAGTGACTCTCCTAAACTCACACAGCTAGTAAGTGCCTGAGACAGGATTCAAACCCAAGACTTCCTGTCTCCAAGCCCAACACTGCATCTGCTGTGCCACCTACCTGCCAAAGGGAGCAATATGACACATGGACCAAAAAACCCCCCCAAAAAACAAGAAATGCCTAGCATCTTCTAAGCAATTTAATTTAATTCGCATTTCCAAAATGGAGAGCCTAAAGATAGTCATTGCATGTTTTTACACTTGTTTTGAGTGTCGTTAACTTCAAGTATTATTGAATGCAGTTCTTTTGTTGAACACGTACCTCCTCTTGCTTCCTTGATGAACAGTATCCCTTTGTAGAAAAGCGGTTGGGTTGTATAATACAGTCATTTTCATCTGAGTGTACTGTGTCTTAAGTGCCACATGAATGTATTTTTACAGGAAAACACAGTACAAACTTTGTCAGCCGATATGACCCGAGATTTAACAGCTGGATCCAGCTCCCACCCATGCAAGAAAGGTAAGAGTGTTCTTTGTGTTGTCTGTGCTGTCTCTGGCTGTCCCACAAACAATTCCCACTTTGTGGTTTTCAAAAATAAAGCAACTAGAGGCAGCTAGGGAGCCCAATAGATAGAGCACGAGTCCTAGAGTCAGAAGGACTTGAGTTCAAATCTGGCCTCAGACACTTACTAGCTGTGTGACCCTGAATAAATCACTTAACCCCAATTGCCTCCCCCAAAATAAAAATAAATAAATAAAACAACTATAAAATTAATCACTGAGAGACACAGGTTTTGCATTTATCTAACTAGTAGAATCAATCAGTTTATTGATGGGCTTGCCAGAAAAGAAAGTCAAACCAGTCAGTGATTTAGCATCACGCAGAAAGAGCACTGGATTAGGAACAAGAGGATCTGTGTTCAGATCCTCCCTCTGTCACACGTAGGTGATGTTGGGCAAGTCACTTGATTGTGTGGTCCTTGGTTTTCTCATCTGTAAAATGAGGAAGTTAGGCTTGATGGCCTGTGAGGTCTCAAATATATAACCCTGATAATTGTCCTGACTTGTTCTTGAGTCAGTTTAATTCTTCAACACTTCAGCTGACATTTATTAATCATCTGCTGTGTGCAGAACACTGTGGTAAGCACGTGAGATACAAAAACAACACTAAAAAGAGTCTCTGCCCTCAATAAGCTTAAGCCTTACTATGGGAATGTAATAGTCACACATATAAGTAACAAAATGACAGGTAGCCTGGCATAGTCAATACAGAGCTGGCCCTGGAGTCACAAAGTTCTGGTTCAAATATTGCCTCTGTCATTGACTGGCTGTGAGAGTATGGTCAAGCCCCTTAACTTCCTGGTGCCCCAGGCCACTCTCTAAGACTAACTTACAGGTCAGTAGTCATATGAAAAGGGCAGCTAGGTAGCACAGTGGATGGAGTCAGGAAGACTCATCTTCCTGAGTTAAATGCAGCCTCAGACACGTACTTGCTGTATGACCCTGGGCAAGTCACTTACCCCTGTTTGCCTCAATTTACTCATCTGTAAAATGAGCTGGAAAAGGAAATGGCAAACCGCTGCAGTATCTTTGCCAAGAAAATCCCAAATGGGGTCACAAAGAGTCAGACACAAATGAACAACAAGAAAGAAGTAATTACTAAAAAAAAAATCTATAAGAAACCTGTCTTGATCTTCTAGGGGGTGGTACTTGAAATGAGCTTAGGAGAAAAATATGAGGCATTAGTTTATCAGTTCCTATTTCCCTAGGAGGACAAGGGAAGAGATGCTAGAGCTAAGAAAATGGTCATAGAATCAGAGCTAGAAAGGATGTTAGAGTCCAATCTCTCCATTTGATAGATGAGAACACTGAGGTGCAGAGAATTGAAGTGATTTGCTGAAAATCACAACAGCTGTGACTTAAAGGCAAATCCACTTGTGCTATCCTTGAATAAGCCCAACTAAACTTTCACAGGAACTCCTAGAAATTCAGTGACACGATTAAAACAGCAACAACAAAGGAAGCCTGATATTTATTTCCATAAACATTGATTAAGTCCCTGTGTGGGGGGCAACTAGGTAGTACCGTGAATAGAACTCTAGGCCCCAACTCAAGAAGACCTGAGTTAAAATCCAGCCTCAGACACTTAGTTGCTGTGTGACCCTGGGCAGGTCACTCAAAACCTGTTTGCCTCAGTTTCCTCATCTGTAAAATGAGCCGGAGAAGGAAATGGCAAATCACTCCAGTATCTTTGCCAAGAAAACCCCAAATGAGGTCACCAAGAGTCAGACACAACTGAAATGAATGAACAACAAATACTGTGTAGAAGGCAATGTGCCAGGTACTCAGGATGCAGAATCAAAACCAAAACTCTCGAGGAGCTTACATATTGCAGCATACGGTTTTTGCTCACCCTTCTACTTTAAAGTTATAACCTAGCCTGTGATAAGACTCATAGAAACATTGTTTGGGTTTCTTCTTTTTTTTTTTTCATTTTACGTATTAAACTGCTGCCTCACATATCTAGTTTCTCAAGTCTACCTTTAACAATTCAAATCCCAAAGTCAGAAAGGGACAAAATATCAAATGTAAAGTACATGCTTGCTTTTTAAAGAAGATATATTGCTCTCTTTCTTTGCTGAAATTGCATAGTCTCCTCCTAGGTATGACCCAATCTTGGCTTCCTAAATAACGGCCAATTGTAGGCATGAACGAGACCAGGGCAATGGTAGTAACTTACAGAATCATAGCATTCTTAATTATAATAATAATCATAACAAAAATCTTTAGTATAGTTTTCTATATTTGTCACAAGATGCTTAAGTCAGACATTGGAATTGGTAAAACTCTGGTGTGTGACAATGGTCACAACATTAAGATTTCATTATCTCAAAAGGAAAAGTTTCTCATTTTTTCTCTTGAGCTTAACTCCAACAAAGACCCACTTCCATTAGTTATCAATGAATTAAATAGAATGAAAACATTTTGTTCATACATGCATATTCACATGCTGGAATTTGGGGCACCATTGTTTCTTTCCAAAGTGACAGATGGGTCTACTTAAGCAAACATTAACTACAACTTTTTTTCCTCTAGAGGGAAATACAGGAAAGGTTTTGCATTCTTTTCTGTCTTACCCATTCCTTCATGATCCTTTGTTCCCCAACAGTATTTTTTTTAGGAAAATATTTCCTTCTTAGGTAACCTCTACTGTGTCAATAAGCTCCTCAAAGATGAATTACAAATTAAAGAGAAATCTCTTGATTATACTCTTGATTCCAAAATGTTCATTAGTGCAGCATGATGATATGAATTCAGACCATAAAGAAATCCCAATCCTTAACTCCTTATTCTATATAATTTAGTCAAAAGTTACTTCCAGGTCAGAGAGAATATAGTCATGAAAAATGATGAGATCTAATGTATTATGAGCCTCATGGGTCTTTTTATGTAATATCTTATTCAGACATTCTTCAAGACATTATTCTAATCAAGTAGCTTTCTTAGGAGCTCTTCACATGAACTGGAAGTCCTCTACCTTTAAGATCTTTCCTCAGTGTACACTGTATGGACTTCTCCATAGGCTTTATGGTCACCATTAATGCTGTTCTCTCATTCTGCCCTATAATCACAACTATTTAAAGTAAGGCTTAAAAAATACAAAGAAAATAAAAGAAATTTAATCTGTTTTGAAATGTCATCTTCTCATCACAATAGTCTCCTTTGCTGGGGGCTTTAGACCAAGATAATTAACCTTCATGCCTTCAGCTTGGGATGCATAACTCATGTCGCGGTCAATTATCTCACTGTAGAGCCCCTAAGGATGGGAAGTATTGCTGCAAAACCTAATTAGTAATTTTTTTTTAAAATGTGTATTGTTTACTTGATAGTCCATAATGACTTCCTCTGAGGCATTATGGCCTATCATGGCAGGGTCCTACTTAGACAATTTTTAGCAGATCATTGACCTGATAAAAGGAGCTGCCATGGTCTGCCGGCACCCGGCAGCCACCGTTGACAGGATGGACTGTTTAACGTTTCTTTCTAAGTCATTATGGTCTATCATGTCAGGTCCCTACTAAGAGAATTTTTTTTTAGATTCAGAACAATCAACTTGATAGACCAAATAAAGAGCTTCATATAGCACTGAGTGGGAAAAGGCAGGTCTCACAGAAGCCTAGCCAGTCTTCAAGTCTCAAATCTCCTATGGATCACTTTACTCAGGCAATAAAATGAAATTTTGCTGTCATCAAAACACTTCCGCTCAGAATAACAAACAAGATCAGTAATCACTGTGGATTAATCAGCATAAAAGAAAGAAAAAGAGAGGGGTGGGAAGTAGGAAGGAAGGTAGGGAGAAAGGAAGAAAAGGAGGAAGGAAGGAAGGAAAGAAGGGAGATAGAGATGGAGGGAGAAAGGAAGGAGGGAGGGAAAGAAGGGAGAGATGAAAAATTAATTACCATTTTTTTCCAGTCAGCAACATTTTCTTTAACTGCTTCATTTATTTACTTTAAAACTATGAAAGGCAAGAAGAAAAATATAAGAGAAAGAGCATTAGGACCTGAGAACCTCTGTTCACATCTCAGTTTTGCTGCTTACTACAGTATTATGTCTTTAGGCCAATCATAATTTCTCCAGACTTTAGTTCTTAGGCTATTAAATGAGAGGGTGAGGTTAAATGGCCTTAGAATTCCTTATAGCCCTAGACTCTATCATCCTATATGACTACTGTATCTTCCCTTTTAGAAAAGTACTAAAAGCATAGGTTATCTACCTCATAAACCACTTGAGAAATGTCTTGGTTAGGGGTGGGGAACCTGTGGCCTTGAGGCCACACGTGGCCTTATAGGTCCTTGGGTGTAGCCTTTTGACTGAGTCCAAGTTTTACAGAAGTTTTCCTTTTATTAAGGGGATTTGTTCTGTGAAGTTTGGATTCAGGCCACACTTGAGGACCTAGAGGGTTACATGTGGCCTCAAAGCAGCAGGTTCCCCAATCCTGGTCTTGGCTATTCACAATCCATAACCCAGCCTATCAAACAGCTTGGGTTCCAAAGTTAGGGTTTGAGTCTTTAGAAAAGGAAAAATTCATTTAACAAGCATTTATTAAATAATTACTATGTGCCAGGCACTGTGCTATGTACTGGGGATAAAAAAACAAAACAGCCCCTTCCCTCAAGAAAGTTACATGCTATGGGAGTGTGTGTGTGTGTGTGTGTGTGTGTGTGTGTGTGTGAGATACCCAGCTAAGTAAATGTAAACTTTTTGCAAATTAATTATAAAGTAATTTCAGAGATAAGAGAGACCTTAGCAACTGGGTGGATGTATTATAAGGAGGTCACCCCTAAGATGAGCCTTGAAGGAAGGTAAGGATTCTAAGATGGGGAGACAGAGTATACCAGACACTGAAAGTGACCATTGATAGATACATTTTGGGATTTTTTAAAAGATTTCATTCTCTAAAAACAGACTTTTGAACACCATATCCATGTATCATGGACAGACCATAAACTCTATCTGTTA